TTAAAATGCTACTGTTAGAGGGAGTAGCCTTAGAGTGGCTGATACTCTGGGATCACAAACCTCCTGTGGACAGGAGAGCACTTATGGATGCTTCGTGGAGGTGAACCTCAAGAGATTCAACCAGGCCAAGCACCAGGTCCTGTCCCTGGGTCAGGGCAACCCCTGGTCCCAGCCCAGGCTGGGGGTGCAGGGCTGGAGAGCAGCCCTGGGGAGAAAGCCCTGTGGGTGCTGGCAGGGAGGAGCTGGCCAGGAGCCTCCAGCAGCCTGGGCTGCCCCCCCAGCAGCATGGGCAGCAGGGAACGGAGGGGCTGCTCTGGGGAGACCCCTCTGCAGTGCTGGGGCAGCTCTGGAGTCCTCAGCACAGCAGAGACAGGGACCTGCTGGAGCGGGGCCAGAGGAGCCCCAGCAATGACCCGAGGGGGGAACCCCTCTGCTGGGAGCCCAGCAGGAGAGAGTTGGGCTGGGGCAGCTGCAGAGGAGAAGGCTCCAGCTGGGGAGACCTTCTCAGGGCCTCCAGTACATGAAGAGGCCCGCAGGAAAGCTGGGGAAGAATGGGTTACAAGGGCTTGGGCAGGACATGGGGCAGTGGTTTTAAAGTAAAGCAGGGGAGCTTTAGATTGGAGGTTAGGAAGAAGTTCTCTCCTATGAGAGTGGTGAACCCTGTCACAGGCTGCCCAGAGAGGTGGTATAGGCCCCATCCCTGGAGACGTTGCAGGTGAGGCTTGGTGGGTATCTGAGCAACCTGCTGTGTTTGAGGCTGTCCCTGCTCTCTGCTGGGGGGTTGGAGTAGATGGCCTTTAGAGGTCCCTTCCAACCATTCTGTGATTCTGTAGGGTGCCCAAGCCTCAGGGTTTCAGACAAATAAAGCTGCTAAAGTCAGAATAAAAGCTTGTTTGGCTTTCAGCAGCAAATTGAAAGGAAAAATTAGGCTTCTAATCAAGCTGCTGATGTAGTGTCTGAGTGACTGTTTGGAGCCAGCTGGAATAAGGAGGGAAGACCACAGAGTCCAAGCTTGAATGACTTGGTGTGGTCTTTGACTGTGTGGAGATGGACCTTTGGTGTTGGGAGTGTTTGGGGTCTTGATGGTGGACAGAGGGTTATTAAAACAGTAACTGGCTGCTGGAGGACACGGGTCTAAAGGTATGATAGAGTTCATGACTAAAACTAATTTTAATGTGAAACCTGGGTGGGATTAAACTTTAAGACTTAAACCACTTGTGTTTGGTAGAGCTTTAAAAACTTTTGGTGCAGTTTGTGAGCTCCTCAATCAAGCTGAGTTTTAAATGTGGTGCTGCAGCTGCTGGGACAGTGACAGGAGGAGGGGAGTAAGTGTTGGGGCTTGGGAGTGAGCATGGGTGTACCCCTGTGTGGATGTCACGGGGTGGTTCCGTTCAGCTTGACACCTCGCACCTGGCTTTGCTTCACACCATGCTCCCTTTTCCCTGTTTTTGCTGAGGAGCTAATTAATGCTTTTAACGGTATGATAGGCTGTCAGTGGTAGGATCCAGAGCTCCACTGTGGTGGGCCCAGCCCCGAGGCTGTTCTGCAGGGGAGTCACTTGAAACTCCCTCTACAGCTTTCCAGCTGAAGGCCACTTGTGTTGGGGCAGCCTCCAGGACAAACGTCAGCTAAAGGCTGCTTGAGTCTTCCTGTTCCTGAAGCAAAACCTACACGTGCTGAAGGAGCAGGAACGGTCTTGAATAGTGCCCAGTTGTGGCTTTCTTCAGGTTGTGGTCCAGGCAGGGATCTGTGGGTGATGCCAAACTGCAGTTGAATCCTCCCTGTGTCAGGAGTTCCAGTTTTATGTGAACTCCAGAGTCATTTGTTCTGAGGTTCTCAGTCTCTTGAGAACATCTGGAAGCAAAGACCTCCCTGGATCTGGGAATGTGCTGGTGGTACCTTTGGAACTTCACAGGAGCTTTCAAAGGGCAAAGTGACCTTGGGCAGGTGCAGCAGCTCAGCACTGATGCTCCTCTCTGTACCTGGATGAAGCAGCTGTTGGTAGCCACCACAGGGACGGCAGCTGGGCAGTGCAGCTGGAGGTTGGACCCAGAGGGTTCCTGTGGACCTTCAGCCAACTTGTCCCAGCTGGTGTCCTGCACAAGCTATGAAGGTCTGTTGCAGGGGCTTGGGTTTAGAGTTGGGACTGAACTCCGAGCGCATGGAGCTTGTGCATTGCTTTGTACATGGGCTTTTTGACTTGAGGTTCTGCTCTGTGAATTCACAGAGCACAGCCTGGAGAGCTGCACCAGTGCCACAACTGGTGGGGAGTGTTCGTGGGGAGTTCTCTTCAGTGTGTTACTTACTGCACATGACTTCAGGAAACCAAGATGTTCCTTCTAGGAGTCCTCACCTGGAGTGGTGTGTCCAGCTTTGTAGCCTCCAGCACAGGAGGGACGTGGACCTGTTGGAGCAGGGCCAGAGGAGGGCATCACAAATGATCCGAGGGCTGGAACGACTCTACGAGGCCAGGATGATACAACTGGGGTTGTTCAGCCTGGAGAGAAGGCTCCAGGGAGACCACCTGGTGGCCTCCAGTACATGAAGGGGCCCACAGGAGAGTTGGGGAAGGACAGGTGACAAGGGTGTGTAGTTGACAGGACATGGGGCAGTGGTTTTAAACTAGAGCAGGGGAACTTTAGATTAGACATGAGGAGGAAATTCTTTACTGTGAGGGTGGGGAAATGGTGAAACAGGCTGCCCAGAGAGGTGGTAGAAACCCCATCCCTGGAGACATTGTAGGTGAGGCTTGGTGGGTGTCTGAGCAACCTGCTCTGTTTGGCGATGTCCCTGCTCTCTGCAGGGGGGGTGGAGTAGGTGGCCTTTAGAGGTCCCTTTCAACCCAAGCCATTTTTTGATTCTAGCTAGAACTGAAGGCCAAAGGGACAGAAATAGTGTGTGGATGAGAACTGTATCTGTGACAAACGGTGGCTCTGCTGCCAGCTTCCCTGTGGTGTCCCTGAGGGGCTGTGGTTTCATCCTGGGTGGTGGACATCAGGGCAGCTCTGGAGCTGTGTATTCTGCTTGCTGGTAGAACAGCTGTTCGAGTTGCAGGACGTGTTTGTAACTGTTTCCCCTTTTGAGTATGAAAAGTGTCTGTGGTTCTTAAATAGAATCCGCAGTAGGTTGTGGGCTCATGGAAAACATGGGTTATTCCAGTTGTGCTCCAGAGTCGAGTGTCGCCACGTGGTAGTTGTGTAAAACAGGAGTGAAGAGGATGGGAAGTGGGGAGGAGGAGAGGTTTAGGTATGACTTGGGTTCCAATAGATGTGTTTGGGGATCTGAGTGCTGTATCATTACATTGTCTCCTCCAGAAGAGCAGTCGGCTGTAATTGGAAGTGGAGTGTACTCTATACACCTTTAGAAAGTCTCACTGGCTCCTCATAAAAAACAGTTCTCTAACAGTTTCCATGCCCCTTCTCCTGAATCTGCATGTGTGGAGACTCACTTCATGCTTTGTAGCTACGTGTGGACTGGCCCCAGGAGGGTGTGTGGCCCTTGGGTGCCACTGAAGCTGTGTGAGCGTGTCCCTTGCCTTGTTGGTTCCTACTTGGTGTTTTTTGGACTGTCACCGCCCAAAAGCTCTCCTAGCACGTGTGCCTCTTGAGACTGGGGCCATGTTCTTGTCCCCCTCGGGGTGCGACTCACTGTGCTTGACCTTCTGGAGGTGAAGCAGAGGGGCACAGCGTGCGGTGGGGAGCCAGAGCACCTTACTGGTCTTCATGCTGCCTACTGCTTGCAGCTGGGGGTGAGGAAGGATTGCAAAGCTGGCTGCTCGGGGTTTGACATGCATAACTGACAGCTCTGGAGGGCTTTCCTCCTTCAGAGGATGTGTGAAGGTGCTCTCCAGCTTCAGGAGGCTCTTCAGTAGGTGCTGCATGCACAGTACCTACCCTGGCCACGAGGCGTGGGTGCAAGGTGTGCTTGGGCCAGCACTGTGAGGAGCTCAGGGGGGGCACTGGGAGAAGCTGCAGTGGCCCGGTGTGAGGCCAGGAGGTTCTCAGCTGGGCTCTTCAGAAGCTGGGAGCAAAACTAAACTTGTGTGAGTTACGGTGGTCAGGGTGTGTGGAGCTTTGTCTCTCTGCTGCAAGACTTCCAGGGGTCAGTGTTCTGAGGGGAGCATCCCAAGAGTCGTTTGTTTGATGCAAGGCAGCAATGCTGAGTTGTAACAAGAGGGTTTGGTTAGTGGTGGCCTCCCAGTTCAGACGGCG